TAGATATTTATCGATATATACCTATTACCAGTATATATCAATTTTTGGTTATATATCGTTATATATCCTAAATTATCAGTATATGCTGTTTTTTTCTTATCGATATATATCGATTTTTTGCTATATATCGATATGTATCTATATAAAAAATTTTCTGATGATATAGTTTCTCAATAGATCGAAACCTTGATTTATTCCCCTTATACTTCTATACTATTCCTTCTCGATTATTGTCCAGATTTCGGATTCGGGTTGATCCAGAATTTTTATAATTTTTTTTGATATATATCTTTTTTACTTTTTATTTTTAATGATACAGTATATGAAGTTTTTAAACTATTTTAAACTATTAGAGTTAAAAGAGTAAAGGTTGCTGCTAAAAAAAAATAAAAATAAAAATCCGAATGAGGTTTTGTGACCTGTAGTAAAGCTAGACTTTATGAAATACTTTGAAGAAATAGTATAGAAGTATAATAGAACCTGGGAATAAATCAGCAATCCCAGATCAGATTATCGGTAATTTCTGAATAGCCTTCGCAGCCAGTGGCCATTCCGTCATTATCCGATCATCTGATCTGGGATTGATTCTTGGTTATTGCCCACTTCGTGGACAATAACATATACATATCGAAACAAATGCTCTAGCTCTGGAGACACCTTTTAATGTGTAATATCCCACAACGTAGAGCGAACAGACGTAATCACATGATATTATTTATATCTTTTGTTCTGCTCCGGACAATTAAAATGGAAAACCACTTAGTATCGCCACCCAAATCAGGCACGTACGTAATCTCTGTTTAAAATTTGATCTAAGCTTGTGTTATTTTTGATTATTATGAACTTACGAAATCATGATTTTTCAAAAGAGGAGACTTTTCCGAATAGAATTATTCAAAGAATTTATTTAGTCATCATAAATATTGAATATGGTCACGTCTAAATTGTAATAAATATTTTAAAATGTATTTATCTTTAAATTCAAATACTTAAGATGTATTTACATTCAAGTTCGATTTTTAAATATAAAATATAACTTGAATTCAATATCTAGTTCAGAATCTTTTTAGATTACATAATATAAAGTTGTTCTTCATCTTTATGTATGCGCGACTTTAAAAATTTACTAAATCAATTGTTTTTTTACTCGTGCATTATTTGATCTTATATTTTTAGCATATTTTTTTGACTTTGCAATAAAAAGAGGTTACGAATTTTTTGACCTCAAATCTCGGATGAGCACTCAAATCATGGTTTTCTTTCACAATTATGCAGAGTTTCATCTTTCGATAAGGAGAACGAAAGATTATGTAAAATGAATAACCTCTGTTTAAAGAATATGATATTCACAAAAAAAAATTTTGTATAATATTACAGTATTAATCATTTAATCATACTTATTGTCAGTAAATGAATTAAATTTCATATGTACAGTACAATACGTACCGATTTTAATTTTGAAACCCCGTGGTGCATTTCGAAAATAAGTAGGATTTTTTCAATAGCTTTTTACTATGTTGAATTATAAATCAGAAAAATAATTTTGAAACCCGCTACTAAAATGTTTTCGATATACTAAATTATTTACGTTTTTAGACTTTTATTAAACCGCATTTATGGTGTTTTACACTATGTATACATTACCCCAAACTAGGTAGTGTTTTAAGTAAAAATTCTCTTGCTCCCGAAAACTTTAAATCTGATCCTACCAATTTGAGCCAAAAATTTTATATACAAACCGTAAAATTTAGAACAATTTAACGTTAAAGAACATAATAAAAACATATAAAAGGTGTAAAAATGAATGTGAGCCAGGTTGGTGGCGCATTAATCAGTCCAAATAATTTGGCCAAATAAAAAATCTAATGATAATAATAGTAAAACTATAAATTTTAATAGAAAGAAGTCACCATTTTTTAACGTTATTCTACTCGAATCATGTTCTTAATATTTTCAAAAAAGCTCATTTCCCTTCATTTTTTTTCATAATCTTTAGCTACTAATATTATTGTTTTGAATTCAAAAATAATTGTATTCTTTATTTTTATAATGTTTATAAATTACAATATTCAAATTTTTACAGACCAAACGTCAAAGTTCTTAATATAATTCGCGCATAAAAAAAAATTTTGGCTTTAAAAGTACGATAATAAATCTCAAATATATAGTTTACAAAAAAAAATTCTTTAAATGAAAATAACTTTTCTCATAATCTACGTTGAATCGTACCTTAAAAAAGAATATTAGTGTTCCTTAATGTAAAGACGTCTCCTTTTATAATTAAATTTTATAATCTGTTATCCTTGCATACTTCCGAAATTATTACTCTACTACATATTAAGTACGGTCAATATGAACTAAAAGTTTTAAAAATTATATTATTTCTGTTATATCTTCAATTCACAAAAGAAAAATAGAAAACATTCAAAGTACAATAAAACACATTTCGTTGAAAAAGAAATTTTACGAATTGAAATAAAAAAGATCATTGTGGCTAGTTAATGCGCCATCAACCTGATATAGGTGAATAGATTTAAAAATCGGCCTATACTATACTAGTATACTATACGTTTTTTTTTGCAAAATAATTTCGTCGATTTTTTTGGGTTGCACCAGATCCTAAAATTTGATTGGCTAGAAAATTTTTTAAAGTATTCTTATTCTCGCAGCTCTTTTTCTTTAGAATGTTTCATTTTGGGTATTGTCGTTTGAATTTATTAAGTAATCATATATTAAAAGCTAATAATAATTTTGCTAATTTTTCTCATAATAAATCTTTAATAATGAATACACAAATTTCATTTCTTGATCCAAATTCTTTTACATTTTTTGATAACGATCTTGAAGATCCACAATTCACTACAACTGACCCAAACGCAAAGGAAGTTCTTGAAAATGCGAAAAAATTACTTTCTGAAAATCAGGTTATTGCTATACCAACAGAAACTGTTTATGGTTTAGCTTCAAATGCTCTTTGCTCAGAAGCGATTCAAAAAATTTATATTGTAAAAAATCGTCCTTTGGATAATCCATTAATTGTTCATATTTCATCATTAAAAATGTTAAAAAAATTTTTATTACCAAATTTAACAGAAATTCCTAAAATTTATGAATCTGTTATAAAAAAATTTTGGCCTGGACCTTTAACAATACTTTTACCAAAACCTGAATCAATTCCTTTAGAAGTTACTTGTAATCAACCTACTGTTGCTGTACGATTTCCTTCACATCCAATAGCTCGAGCTTTGATTTCAACATGTGAATTTCCTTTAGCTGCTCCATCAGCTAATGCATCAGGAAAGCCCTCTCCAACTTTGGCTTCTCATGTTTGGACGGATTTAAATTGTAAAATTCCATTAATAATTGATGGAGGTCAATGTAATTTTGGTGTAGAATCTACGGTTCTAGATGCGATTAGCTCAAAGGATCCAATTATATTACGTCCTGGAGGTGTTACTTTTGAGGCTTTGGTTAAGATTCCAGGTTTTGAAAATTTAAAGGTTTATAATAAGGACTTTATTGATAAGAAACTTGAAATGACGCCAACAACTCCTGGAATGAAATATCGTCATTATTCTCCTAATGCTAAAGTCGTGTTAATTGATCTTGGTGATGATAGAATTAAATCAAGAACTATATTGAAAAGGGAAGTTCAAAGAATCAAGAATGGTGGTGCGAACAAAATTGGAATCTTAATACTTACAGATAATATAATGAATATACAAAATAATGAAAATGATGTGTTGGAATCCAAGATTAGTTTAAATACAAATACTTTAATAAATGATTCTAATTTATCAAATAATAATAATAATATTTTAGAGTATTCGTTAGGTAGTTCAATTCACCCTGAACAAGTTGCTAAGGAATTATTTAAAGGATTGAGATGTCTTGATGAACATAAAGTAGATTATATAGTTGTAGAAGGAATTCCTGAGATGAATGAAGGATTGGCTGTAATGAATCGGTTAAGAAAGGCTGCATCAACGATCCTAAAGGAATAAATTTGTGGTTTAACCAATAAAATTAATCATGTAATGATGACTATAACTACGCTTCAAGTTAAGTCACGTGGTTTTGACATGCATTTCTTACGTGAGAAAATTTAGCTCCTTGTGCTACAGTACTATTTTTCTATCTGCTATTGTATCTCGATATGGCATAATTCACTACAATAATAATGAATTCGAATTCACGCGCTGAAAATTGCTCTTTGAATCTTTAAGCAACAAATGGAAAATTCAGAGAAAACGAAACTTACTACACTAGAAGAACTAAAACGAAATCGGGATAAATTCAAATTTCATAAAAATCGCTTTAAAAAGCAAACCAAAATCACAAATGGCAGCTCGGATCTTAGTAACAAGACAATCTCCGAATGCACGAGTACTTGCAGATCTGACACACTCTCCTCTGCAACTGTCACAGCCGGTCCAAGAGAGCCGTCTTGTATAGTTTATGAGAAACTTATACTGAGCTATTTTACGAGCGATTTACACAATATCAACTCATTCCCGTTAGAATCCTACGACATGCTTAAAAGGTGTTTATTTATGGTGGTGAATTCTTATTCTCTAACTAATGTTCTTTAACTAATAAATACAAAAAAAAACTTTTTGATTATTTTTAGATTAGCTGTATGGAAAAGTGATTTTCATATTCCTTTTACGCAGGCTTCTTTAAAAAATCTTGAAATGGCGCTTAAAAATTTGTCAAATGCATGGGGCCCTAATATTATATCTGTAAAAGAAAAAAATATTGGCGGGGGCAAGAGATTAATAGTGGAAGAGGTTGATTTTCGAAAGCTAAATGCTGTTAAACTTATTGAAGAGTAGGCAATTATCTTTTATTGAATGAGAGAAATATTTTTGTAATATAATTATTTAAAGTGACTAAATAGTGTTATATATTGCTGTTAATGATATTATAGCTCTCTGGAATCGGACGATCCCTTATCTTTAGAAAAATCGTTACAATTAACCACTCATTTAAACAATACCAACAAAAAACGCAAAATTGACAAAATTTTAGATAACGACGATGATAATGGTAACCATCTATAGTCATTTTTAATAAATGGAAATGTCTATTTAATAAGTTTATCGTTTATTATAATTTCTAGAATTAAAAGAAATAAATGAACTTCTTGCAAAACCATCATTTAAAGATTTAGAAGAAAGTGGTCCATTGTATGATCTATGTGTAATGTTAAATAAAAAATCTTCTCGAGACAAATTAATAATCGAAATGGTAATGATTTTTTTTAATATAATTTATTATTATTGTTTAAGTTTACTAATTTAAATTTTGATTTTGGACAACAGTTTCGATCGACAAACAATTCATTCCGAGAATTTTGTGTTTATGGTACAAAAGCTGATTGTCAAAAAAAGCGTCGGAAAGCTACTAAAGCTTGCAAAAGAGTTTGTAAATTTTTTAAAATAATTTTTTTTTTACCAATAACCTTTCCCAAATAATTGAATTATTGAATTCTTTTTGGTATAGCTTCATTTCCGCCCAATGTTACGCCACCATACTGATTTGGAATTAGGTGATTGTTCTTATTTGAACACCTGTCATCGGATGGATACTTGCAAATACGTGCATTATGAGCTGGATGAAGAAGATGAAAAATGGACTTATGTTCAGCGAAAACAAATCCCGCCTGCTGTGGTAAGGAATTTCTATTTTTTTTTTGATTTATTTTTATTTTTATATTTATGTTCAGGAAACATTTCACACTTATTAAAATTAAAGGTGTTCGTTCCACCAACAAAAGTGGTAAGGATTTTTCTCTTTTTTATATTATGTTCTAGTGCGGTGTCATTATGTTGATAAATCTTTGCTTGTCTTTTTGCTTAGCTTCCTCCTCAATGGATCAACTGCGACGTACGGAAGTTTGACTTTTCGGTTCTTGGAAAGTTCACTGTCATAATGGCTGATCCACCATGGGATATTCATATGACGGTAGTGTATTTTATTGTATTCAATTAGTTTAAATTGACTAATTACTCAATATGCCCACCAAAAAATCTATCACAGCTTCCGTATGGTACTATGACTGACGATGAAATGAAAGATATGGGAATTAGCACATTACAGGATGAAGGACTATTGTTTTTATGGGTTACGGGAAGAGCAATGGAACTAGGAAGGGAATGCTTGAATATTTGGGGGTAGATACTTGATATTGATGGCTCTTAATGACTTTTAGTTAATTAGTTAATATGGTTGATACTAAGGTCAGTTTATTTTGTGCAGATATGATCGTGCAGATGAACTTGTATGGATCAAGACCAATCAATTACAAAGGCTTATTCGGACTGGGCGAACAGGACATTGGCTGAATCACAGCAAAGAGCACTGTTTAGTTGGAATTAAAGGCTATCCTGAAGATTTAAATTGGGGACTCGATTGCGATGTTTTAGTTGGAGAGGTAAAGGCCATATACATATATATTTATTTAAAATATATAGTCACCAACGTATTAGCAACACTTTAATATTCCTTTATTTTGCTTGAAAAAGGTTCGAGAAACAAGTCGTAAGCCAGATGAAATCTATGGATTAATTGATCGTTTGGCACCTGGTACACGTAAATTAGGTATGGACCAATATATTTTTTTCTTATGATTAATTTTATTCTTTCTCATATATCGATATTACATTATACCCAGAAATATTTGGTCGTCAACACAATACGCGCCCTGGGTGGATAACCCTTGGTAACCAATTGGATGATGTTCGGATATATGAGCCTGAGTTAGTCGCACGATTTAATGCAAGATATCCAGAGAAACCTTGTAAATTAACTCAATTACCCCCGGATTGGTAGCACATTTATTCGTGCTAGTAGTTTTTTTTTAATGTATATGGTATAAATTTCAGTATAATAAATAACGGTTTTGACTACTTAATAAATGGTTTTATCCATTAAATATTTTGATTACTAAAAATTTATTACCAAACATCTTGGGGTTTTTAAATCATCTACATGACTATTATTCCTATAAATGATATCTTTGCAAACACCAATTATTATGTAGTAAAAATAATTGCTACTTAATACAGTCGTACCTCCATATAATCACCTATATAATCACAAACTCTATAATCATATAACGATAATTTTATGCGCGTTTACTAATTTCCCCCAAGATTCGATATTGGTCAATCAGAATGCAAGATCAGGTGTAACGTGAAGATCAAAACAATCGCTCTTTTTCTGAAAAGTCACACTTATCGCAAAATTTTGCCTAAGAAATCACCTTTTATGAACTAACAAAAAAAATTCCTTGCGAAATTTTAGTTTAATGTTATTCACTAACTCTAACTCAAACCCTAATTAAGATGTCACATTCTAATTAGAAGGTGATATGTAAATTGGCATGAATAATCCTAGCTAATCAAAACTTGGAGGGAAATTAGTAAATGTATATATTTTTTTTTTTTTATGTTTAAGCAATCCTGCCTTTATTCATGTGAGCTGTTATATAATTCATATACATGAATGTAATAAACTTTTACAACTTGTAGCTTTAACTCAATAAAAACTCACCAAGTAAAAACCCAATGAAATTTGCTATAACAACTATTAGTCTCACTTGGGATCCAAAACTTACTTCAGATTTTGATCATCGAAACGATACCCCCTTTGATCATTGACAGGCTGTTGTATACTGCATCAGGTTCTTTTTTTCTCTTCTAATTCTTTTTTCTTCTCAAGGAGCACAAGACAAAAAGGGAGAAATTTTTTTTTAAAAAAAAAAAAAACAACCAGAAAAAGAAAAAACAGAAAAGAAAAAAGAAATACTGATTGTAAAAAAGAAAAAACATGAAAAGAAATTTAAAATCCTGAAGGCACTATTATAACCTATGCATAGCTAATAAAAATTATATAACAAATGCAATATTTGTATATCTCTACTATAAAGCTTTGCCTTAATGTTAAAATTTACTTTTTGACTTTCCCACCAACTTCGGTTAGCTCTGTTGCCTGTTCTAATTTATATCTTGAGCCAGGTGCTGCCGTTGTTCGAGGACTCATGTTTCAAGCCACCTGCTGCTGTAATTAGAGTTTTCAGGCTGAGTTCTATGAAGTAGTGCCATATTTGTCCATAAACAAACACGTAGTTGTATTCTGCTCATCTGTTCGGATTTGAGAAGTAAACAATGCCGATTTTTGGAGAGGGTAAGCCAAATACTAGGCCTCCGCATGGGCCGGGTAGGCCCATGGGTACCCACAAATAGTACTATGAAGGCCGGGCTAGGGCACTGATTTCTAAGCCCTAGGGTAAGGGTAAGGGCTTAAACGTGAAACCCTTACACAAACGG